GCCGCCGACCACAACGGTGGCGGCCCCGCCGGGCCTGACTAGTTCACTGCCTCGATTGCTCCCAGCAGCAGAGCTGCACTGGTGAGCGATTCCCATGCTCGCATAGGGAGGGACACTGCTAAGGACAGCGACCTGGCATCCCTGCAGGGACAGGCACGGCCGCATGCCTCGCTCCAAACCCAAAGAGCACCAGGAAGTGAGACTCGGACCATTAACTCAGGAGATTGGTCTCTGCAGCCTGAGCGTGCAACCGATGCCTTAGCTCAGCCAGGGCAATTGTAGAGTTTATTGCAGGGCTGGTCGATTAACTGCTGCAAACTCAAGCAATTAATGCAAAACAAATTAACCCAATTTTTAAAAAGTTGCAGTTATCTGCAGTTTTAATTCCACTGACAGACGACAGAACAGCAGTGTTAACTTATTACAAATATCCTGGCACATTTTTCAACATTTTCAAATATTCCAACCTCAACCACAACACAGGACACAAAGTGCACAGGGCTCACCCCACATTACCACTATTACAAATATTTGCACTGTAAAACCCCCAAATAATTAGTATTTTCCAAATCGCCGCATACAAGTACAGTCATGGAATCTCTTTTTTGTGAAAGTGTATCTTATAAATGTAGATGTTTTTAAAAAGACACCACTCAAAAACTTTTACAGCCTGTAAGTCCACTCAGTCCTACTTCTCGTTCAGCCAGTCGCTCGGACAAGAAGCGTGTTTACATTGACGGTCAAACATGCTGCCTGTTGCTTGATTACAAGTGAGAACAGACATTTGCCTGGCACTGTTGCAGCCGGCGCTGCATGGTTTTTAACATTCCAGGTATGTTAAATAGTCACATGCCCCTTAGTGCTGCGATTTGTAGCTTGCACCCTCTTTTTTACAGTGCAGATATTTGAAATAAGAATATAGCGAGCACTGCCCACCTTGCGCCCTGTGCTGCTGTCATGGTGCAATCCCACAACCGACACTGCATGCAGAGAGGGGGGCCGGCTAGCAAAATAACCTCTTCAAAGCCTGTCTCTGATTTCCAGAGACAAACTTATTCAGTCTAAGTCCCCCTGAGATCCCCAAAAAATTAAGGCTGGTTCCTCGCTGCCACCGCTCCAGTGAGTCCAAGAAAATACAAAACTAAAGCCTTTTGCAGGGAAGAGATCACCTGGGAATCACCTCCCTAAGATAAAGCTCTTCCCTGCGCAACCTCCGTTTTGCTTGGAGTTGGGGCAAACAGACAATGGACTCTGCCCTTGTATCTAGGCACCGAGTCCTAAGGACACAACACTCAACCAAGACCGCTTCATTAGAAGAAAAAGAAAACTCTCCGTTACTCTCAAAAAACAAAGCTACAGTTGCAAGCGGAGTAAATCGGCTAGGTGGTAAATAGCCACAATTGACACATACTCAGGGAAGCCCCGGGCTGCAGTCCTTAGTTACAAGAGAGACACCCAATGAGCCAGCTCAGACATGATTTCCAAACCCCCGAACAAGGAAAACAATGAACCCTGATGGGCTCTCGGCACTTCTCCCTCCGTGCACATTTCAAGAGGTCCGTTCTTGGAGAGAAGCGTCTCCCACTTCCCTCAATCCCTGAGAGAAACTGCTCTGATCTCAAACAAAGAAGGGAGAGAAAACCTCCCTTTTCCAGTTTGAAATTCCTACCTGCGTTGTTATTGGCTGATTGCCCCCCTCCCCCCCCACCAACACCTTTGCTAGGTACCTGAGTTAACCCCTTAGTCACTGGGTGCCGTTCTACACATTGGAAAGTGTAGAAAACATTCAAACCCAGGTAGGATACGTTCCAACGGGCGCCCGCTCTCGTTCAGCCGGGCGATGGAACCACTTCTGGGACCTCGTGCTAAGTGGTGATGATGTGCGAGGGTCCCGTGCTGGCAGGCCTCTGGGTGAGAGGCTAACGGGAACGTGGCCTCTCCCCGCTGAAAGGGGGCGCAGCCCATGGGGTGGGAACAGGCCAGGCCTGGGGCGGCGGAGCGGGCGGCTGTGGCCGTGCTGGGCTCTGGCTCTGACC